AATAACCAGATTGGCATTTTTAAGGTTGTAGATCTGGTCAATAATTGGAATACTGTATGCGGTCGATGTGGAAATTGACTTTGAACAAAATCGAGCAATTCAAGTTTATAACATGTTCGAATGGTTAGGTGTCAAGTTTAAAGTAGTTAAGATTATCTATTGTACGAGTTAAGGCCAAGATTTCAAACCTGTACTATGGGAATTACAGCAGATTAATAAGGTATAGGTGACTAGATCCATATAATACAGAGCCTGTGCTATACGGATTTGGTAGCTCATACCATACTAATGTATTGTACGATGTTATCCAGTAAGCAATATTAGGTCCAATGCAATAAAAAAAATTTGTATCATTCATATCTAGTAACTGTGCTGCAATTGCAGAACACTATGCAGTATAACGATTTCTTCTATAGAACTTTTATGCTCATCTTAACTAAAAAAGCATAATTCTTGATTAGTTTTGTAAGGTCTTTTTATAATTTTAAGTATATACAGCATAATGATAATGATAGCACTTAAAGTTTTGTAAAAAAACAATAGAATTAACACATACATTGGTTTCGCCAATTTTTTTAGAAACACATTTTAAAATTAGTTCGTTGACAAAAGATTTTGACCAACTTAAAGCCTTTTACCAACCCAAAAAAAGATTATGAAATTGAAATGAAAAAAATACTAGAAACAAATGAACTTTTTGCTGAAAGCATGTATCATATAGAAAATGATGAAGAAATGCAATATTCTGATAATCAAGTTCTTACTCCATTACAAATAAAAAAATTTCAAACAATATTTTCTCAAAATACTATTGAGGAGAACAATGATGAAGGAGAAATTAATGAAAAATTAACGGTTATTTTAAATCAGCAAGAAAAAGAAGCATTTAATAATAAACTTCGTACAACGGTCTGTTGTAAAACTAAATCATGTTTAACCAAAATTGACCATGAACTTGCATTTAAAATTTTTTATGACATTCGAGGATTAACAAAAGCTGAGTATAGTATGTTTTTATTAGGGACGCTTTATGCAATGATTCGTCCAAATAAAACATTACGCGGTAAAGGAAAACAAAACTTAACTATAAAATACACTTTTAATGGAAATGAAATTTGTGAGAAAGCATTTCAAATTATACATTCACTATCAAT